AGTAAATCAATACCGCTCTACTTACTGTACACTAATGTAAAAAACAAATAGTGAAATTCTTACGGTCCAAACTGAATATAGTGTTCAAATTGTTAGTATATGTCGGTAATTACCCCATCTATCGAATTCCATAAAAAAACCTGAAACAGATATCTCTGTGTTTGGCGATCAAGCGATGCGTTACCAAAACTCTCCATGTTTGGCGGGCAGAATGTTAAGGAAAAAATAGATTTAAAAGAAATGATTGGTCTCAAAAACTTACAATAAATAAAGTGTACTGTAGTAGTATTAACCCCTGAGAAAACCAAAGATTCAGAGGAGTTGGATCAGTGATGTACTGTACCAATGGGGCCGGGGATCTTGTGGCTTTCTGAGAGTGGGGGCCTTTTTTTTATGTCCTGGTTGCCAATTCCTGGGATTTTAGATGTGCTCGTTTTTTAATTGTTTGTCATTGCATTCTAAATGTTTTAAACAACAAAGTAAATGATATGAGTGATGAATCCAGAAATGTTTAACATGGAGAGACTTTCACTGATAAAGAATCAATACCACCTCAGCCCAACATGGTTTGGGCTGAGGTAAGAAAATTTATGATTACAGCACCTCTAAATGGCTGAGAGCGCATAGGCGTTATGCTAATCTATGGGGTTGGAGAGGGGGAGATTCTAACCCTAGGTCGTGGTGTACAGTAACCACCACATGTACAGAGCCGTGCCTGTGTAGGTGAATTCACATCTTGCAAATTTTTATCTGAACATATTTTTTTGCATGATGCCTGTAGCTTGCATCTTAGGTATCCCAGCTGAACAGGTTTTTGTTTCACAGAAGGCCTGCAGGGTATGATGACGAAAATTGACTTCCAGGAACCTAGGTACCAGTCACCTGGCAACATCATCCTACAGATTAAATGTGAACGTCTTTAATAAATTCTGTCTCATCATAGTCATGTACTCCACCTTTGGCAAATTTGTTTTCTTTTTTGTAGCTGAAATTTGATTCATTTTTATGTAAATGAAATTTCTGTATATAGGACTATTTGTAGCATGGTGGTATTTTATAGGCCCAGTACTTCGGAAATAACATTCTATAGACATGGAAATAAAATTTATTATAGGAAAGTTTAACTATTAAAACAGAAAAAAAACCTCAGTGATTATTGGTTGGTTCAAGGTTGGCTGATCGATTTGAACCTGTTAATTCAAAATCCATCCCAATTTAGACAATTTAGACATGAAGCAGTCAAACAAATCTCATATCATTTATTTCATTATTCTCAAATATACAAAGAGCGTAAATGTATAGAAACATGACAAGTATGCCAACACAACTTCAGTTGATACAGTACTTGACAGGATTACTCAAAAGTAAACCAGTTACTGTTGAGGATCTCTTCGGATATCACCTGATCAAATTAAAATTATTATTTCACGTTAATAGGTTTATTACTGTACATATTGGTATTTCGTACAGTAAATAAATACAAAACTATAGCTACAGTACTATACATCTCTATTTACAATGAGCTGTCAGTCCTGGTGTTTCCTGCCGTCTTTTGAGGTCATCTGTTATTTGGTGGTTCTAACGTTTTTATGTGTTTATACTAAGTGATAAATTCATAGCCATAATTAACATAAAATAATATGAAATGCTCCTAAATGCGAATTATTTAGGTTTTATTAGTGATTTTACTATACAATCTAAAGTAAAAATCACAGTGCCAGCAACATTTTCCCCCTGATCATTGGATCCATCAATTTGCAAATCTTACGCACTAACTAATCATATGAAACCTTATTCATTCCCTCAGGAATATTGCATGTAGTGGTGCATAGATCAATACATTCAAAACCACAACATCCTACTGTTCCAGGCAACTATTAGTATTCCTGGGTAGAGTCAGACAAACATGACTTGTCCATCCAAGGAAGAGAATTTAAGATTCAAATCCTAACTTGGCTTACTGTACTACCCTAATAGCTGCTTAATTGGGGCGTGTTACTACTGGCTAATTGGGTTTCTGGTAATGCTGTTTCTTCCAAAATACATTTTCCGGTAGAAACAAACACAGACCCATAAGTATTTAAATGAAGAAACAGATTCTTTTATCGTGCTTATAATCTGCCCTTTATATAACAAAAGCCTCAATCGCACTGGATTTGTTTCAGTAAAAGTAACTGTCTTGTCGGTAAGTTTGACCGAAAAAGTCTAATGCGGATAGTCCCGCTCGGTTAAATTGACTGTCGCCGCAGGTTAGTTTTCGGGAGTGAAATTAACTCAGGAATTCCTACCGAGCTACTTTGACCGGCCTGGAAAATCCAATGCGAACAGCCACAGGTCGTTTAAATTAACCGAATTCCCAAGCCTCATTGTTCATTTCGGTAAGAACTAGCTAGAAAGTAAGTGCAAATCAGCGCGCGAAACAGATCAAGGGATCAGAAGGCTGTAGGTCATGTCAGTACGGGTCATGTTACGGGTCAAAATGTACCGCCCTCAATAGTTAATTTTACACTACTCTGGAAAATTAACCGAGTTGAAAAGTCCAAGTGCGATTGACGGTAACATTTACCCTAGAAATGTTTACCGTGATTACGGTTACATATTCCCAAAATTTAATCCAGTGTGATTGAGGCTAAAGACATTTTAGGTTTTTAAGTTGGTTACAAAGTGTTGGCACTCACAGAGTTATGAAATGTCTACACAGGCATGTGTCTGCGCCCCATTCAGTTTAACATAACATATGTATTGTTAAGTTTAATACTTATGCTGTAAACCTTAGGTACTTTTTTGTTTTGTTTTACTGTATATTTAAAGTACCTTTCAAGAGATGACCAGAATTCATTTTACTTGATATAGTCTTATTACAGATGCTTCTTTGAGAAATTGATGATTAATAAATTTATAATGAAGAATTATTAATTATTTATAATCATAAAATACAATATATTTATTTTATTTTGTAACTGATATCAAAATTAAACTATATTTGGACATTGCCCTTTGTTTGTGTTTATTTATCCTCAAAGAAAGTGATCTACAATATTCATTAATAGATCTTGTGATAAAATGATCATAGCTTTAAAACAAACACCTGACAGTTTAATCATAGTGCAACAGTATACAGTACTGTTTCTGGAAAAGTAATCTACAGTCAGATAGAGTACACTACTCAAAGCTGTTTTTGCTGGGAAGTGATGCCTTTGTTAAACTTGACCTTTTCTCCAGGTCTCAGATAATATTACTGTAGACTCTGTCCAGATCAGTTTTAAAATTAGGCTCTGATGGCCAGACAATGTCATAATGTACTGTACAATAATTTCTATTTGTTGGAAGTTTTTCAAATTTCACTTCACCTTCTTATTCACAATTTTTTTTAAATAAAATTCTTAAATTTATAATCACCATTTTCTATGTGGGCATCCATTTACCAGTTTGATCTGGTATTTTTAATCATTTTAGGTTGTTGTACTGTACCATGGAGGAAATATTTTCCTTCGCATGGTTGTACAGTTTATTCCCAGTTCTGATTTTGAGATATGCATTTGCAGTAAGAAATCTACACTGTCAAGTTTTATGGGATTATATTGATATGTAATAAGTGCATTATATCTAAAGGGAAAAAAATTAATTAACTGTAGGCCTGTAAAATTAATATTTGTTTAGCGTCCCCTCCTGACTGTCATATTCTGGCAGACTAAAGTATTTTTAAACCTGCCCAAATAACTTTTTGGTGGCCATACACTTTATTTTTACATGACATTTCATTGTTAACATGTCCTGGTTGTACCTACACTGTACTGTACCGTTTGGAAGGCTGAGCAGACCATTAAATTTTCAGTTGTTTATGTTGCTGGTTTCAGTTAATTGTATATTAATTATTGAAATAACATATTTATATTTGATGATTATTTTCTATCAAATTTGATTAATAATAATAATAATAATAATAATATTATCTCGAATTTATATGGCGCCAATTCCAAACAAGATCAAAGGCGCAACGCATTTAAAAAGCCACCGGAAAACAAATAGGTCTTAAGCTGTGACTTAAAGTTGCAAATAGAGTTGGAAGAAGTTATGTACTTTGGAAGTTGGTTCCAGAAATAGGCAGAAGCAAAAGTAAAAGAACATTGACCGTAGGTTTTGGTATGGCATTTGGAGAAGGATTTGAGAGGATGATTGGAGACGGCGAAATGGAGTATATCGGGAAATCATTGAATGTATTAATTATGTCAGTTGTACAGTATATTCACAAGAAGTAACAGTGACTGTGAATCTGTCTTTTCTGTTTGAGGGTAACCTATTGTACAGTAGGTTTTTAGAAGGTTGACTGACTACAGTACAGCTCCATTCATGATATTGATATTAAATTAATTTAATGACATTAGAGTAGTGTATAATACATGTTAGGCTGTACATTAATTTTATGGTTGAGTGCATTTATGTTTAAATCATATTTTCTTGTTTTAATATTCGGAATTTGCAAAAAAAAAAAAAAAAATCAACATTTGTTTTCTTGCTGTTTTGTGAAATGGCATTCCAACATGTGAGCATGTAAGTAACCATTGACCAATGCATTTTATTATGTTGCTTAACCAGGTGTTGGAACAATGCCATCTTTGATTCTTACATCGAAAATACCTAGCTGCAAATGCAAGGGATTGAAATGTGAGAGTTAAGATGAGGTGTACACAGTAACAATAGGAGAGGGCAAAACCATTGGCTTACTATTTAAGTATTCCACATTCAAGCTGTATGCATGTATGATCAAACAAAATCTAAGACAATTATTAGTTGAAAAAACTAACTCAACACAAAATTTGAGACAAATGAGCTGCTCTACTTGCCAGCTTTAAATTTGTATAAATTTGTAAATTTATGCTCATTAAGTACTGTAAATGTTGGGTATTCATAAATCAAAAGTTGATGGTCTTGAAGCAAAACGTACTTATTTTATTTAAAATCATTTTCTTCGAATTATTAATGTTTTTTTTCCTTTTTAGGGTCGTCATGTTAAGACAGGACAACTGGCTGCCATTAAAGTTATGGATGTTACAGAGGTGAGTAAATATACATGTATTTTTATTACAAGAATTACATTTATTCTTTTATTCAATAATGTATCTTTAAATAACATTTAATTTTTAGTAATTACAGGAATATTTTTCTTGTACAGTACAGGAATTAGGCCTGTACTGTTTGTCATATTACAGTCACTGAATGTAATACTGTATCCAGTTTTTGCATAACAGCTGACCTGGGAATGCGATGCCAGTACCTTAGTGAAAATGGTGAGGCCTACAGTTTGATCATGGAGGTATAGTTTGATAATAAGCTACAACTGACGATACCTGATCCTCAATTAAAATAGGACCTCGTTGTCATAAGCTAATAATATCTGTAGTACTGTACAATATGGCTTGATTGTAGCCTGCATAAAGTTCTATAAAAAGGAGAACAGAGATTTGCTAGAGTGACTGATAGACTGAATATTGGTTAAGTATTACCACATAGTGACTCCCTACCATAAAACATACAGTACCAAAGACAACTTAATAGAGGAGCAGGTTCAATGCGAGACCCGAGTCAAATTCTACCCATGGCTAGTGTCTTGTTGCTTTTTTCTCCCCCAGTCCCTTTTCTAGTTAAAATATGCCCCACTGTTCAACAAAATGTCTCGCATTCAAGGTCTATGTGTCCCACTTTCGAACACTCAAGTTGGTACTTTTCCCTGACTTTTGGATTGAGTGTATCTGACTGCTGGCTCGGTTGGATATTCAATTCAATTAAATTCAAACTGATATTGCCCGAAGTGTTTATTGCCCGAATGGTTTAGTTTAGGGTAAACTGAATATTGATTGAGACTGTATTTGTAGTGTTGGATGTGCTTGAATATAGCCTGTACTGAAGCTTTAGCGTAGCCTGGGTGATCACTTTATTTGTTAACGGCTTGGTACAGTACAGTATAACCTGAGTATATACTTACTTTCTTATCAACCATGAGTATAGGTTTGAGTATTGTGTGTGTATTACAGTAGTTGAAGCGGTGGCTTGATCATAGCCTTTTGTGTGTTGGTTATGCTTTGGATGATGTGAGTGTTCTGTTGACAATGAGTCTATCCAAAGATACTGAAGTACAGATTAAAATTAGTGCATTTTTTTAGACGTGATCGACGCGTCCATCCAAATCACGTCCATGTTGTCTGCTGTCTACCCATTTGTTTAGGATGCATCGGACGCGTCCAAAAAATCGACCACTTCTTTTAAGCAGTACTGTAGAAACACAAGATAGAGTTCTCCACAGAAAAAAACTGTTCCACCGAAATGCATGGTGGGAAAAAAACAATGGGGCGCCGCGTACGACTGGATCTAAAAACCTTCTGCCAAACTTGCATAACTGAATACATAACCTTCTTTTGCGGAGGTAGAAATCATTGCCATTATTCATAAGATAAAAAAATTAGAAATGACAGACACAAAAGCACATAATCGTATAACCAGACTCTAATTAGTGATAAACTTTCCATCATTAGCAGAAATAGAAGGGCGCCGCGTACGTCTGGATTTACTTAGCAACAGAAGGGCGCCCTGTACGCCTGGACCAAGTATACTGTAGATAAACTTGCACATAAATAAGAAAAGAAGGGCGCTGCGTACAGTACAGAATATCTGGACTAACCTAAAAGAATTGACGTACTGTATTTCTGCCTTATTTTTGCTATGCAAGTGCTCTATCTTGTGTTTCTAGTATCTGTGGTTTATCTCATATAGTATTAGTACTTGGCCATCAATCTGCTTAATTTGAGGATTAATCCTATTACCTCTTTACAAATTGTGATATTTCTCTTGATTTGGAGCTAATGCATTACAGCAGGGTATGTCACATAATCTGTGGTATTGTGCTATAATAAACCTACACAAAGAATTTAGTCAGTCTTTACTTGTGACCATCAAGGTTAAAGTTCAGGATAAGGTCATGTAACAAGCAGTTTCTATTTTGAGTTGAAAACATCTTGAAGGACCCAATATAATGATGTTGTTTCCGATGCATTGATTGTGTGTTAACACAGACCAAGTCCTGTAAACAATGTATTTTTTCTTATTTTTTATACCTTGATAATTTCTAATTTTAAATAACTTAAATGGGCCTTTAAAGAAGTATAATACATGCACGGTTGGGATTCAGTATTTCGACAACAATTATGTCATCATCAGGAACATGGGCCTTTTTAGTATTATTAGCTGTGATCTTTAGTTTTCTAAATTTTTAGTTTAACATTGAGCAAGTACAATTTTAGTTAACCACCTATGAAAAGTTCCTGTAAATTCTCTAGTACTATAAATAGATTGGTGTTGCCTTTTATATTTAAATTTAAAAACAACAATATCTGTATAATAACTTTAATGTAGCAAGGTAGGAGAGGTATAGTTTCTGCTTCTTTGGCTGTAAACCCTGGTTCAAACCCAGCTGTTGCACTGTACAGGTAGGTATTTAATTCCAGAGTTGTTGAGATCCTATGAGTAGGGTCTATAACCCTTACATGTTGGGCACATTAGATTTAGTAGTTATGTCGGGTGGTCACCCATCCCGGGCCCAACCTACAGTAAATTTCCATTTCGAATGAGGACAAATAAACACACATTTTATTAATAAAACAGTAGAAATGGTAGTAATTTAAGGACTTGTTTTTACTTATTATTATTGCAACTGTTAATAGAAACTGAGACAAAAACTTAACACAATTAACACAATGATGGTTATGAGGTACTATTTTGAATGTTGGGGCACTGAATTAAGAAATATAATAATGATCAGCACACTCGTAAAGAAGAAATACCGTAAATATTTATTTAAATGTTTCGTTCATATGAACTGCTACCTGTATTATTTGCTTGCTGAATGTTATGGATATTACCTGTATGAATGAAAATAGGTCAACAAATTGGCCATCAAAGCCAACTGCTGTATTTCAAATCATTTATATTAAAGCAGCACTCAATTTTGCGTGTCTATTTAAGTTTACCACAGTATGTCTGCATTTTTATGAGGAGTCGTTCACAATTATCAACATTTTCACAAGTGTGCAGACACTACTCTTTTTCGG